GTCTCTCCTTTGACTGTAGGAAGGCCAACTCTGAACATACTAGTCAGCAAGAAGAGAAGATAAAGGTCAAGAATTTGGTCTCCCTGAGGCCAAAGGCCACCTTAGGGTCTCCTCATGTCAAGGGTAATAGTCCCATTTTAGGGTCCCATTACCACCCATATTCCCATGGTTCCCACTCTGCCTGACTGCTTGCACTGGAATATTAGTCTTCTCCTGCCCGCAGACTGCAACTTCCACTATCATCTTTCTTGTTTCTCAGGACTTTGGACTCAGACTGGAACTTACACCACTGGTTTTCTTGGTTATCTGGCTTCGAGATTTCCCAGGGGACTCATGCAACTAAGTAAACGGTTAGACAGACTGCTAAAGTTTATTATAGCAAAGGATACAAAAACAAGATGAGCAAAAAACAAAGATAGGTATTAGCAGAGTGCAGAGAGGCACAATCTTCCAGATGCTTCCTGTGTAAGGGTTACATGCATGTACTTTCTCTACAGCTGCAAATAGCAGAGATGAGACACTTGTGAGATGCTTCTATCTGAGGAAGCCTATCATTCCTGATATTCATGTGTATGAAATCAGCTTTCATCCTGGGTGACTCTAAGCTGAGCCTCAGTCTTCAGTCTTGGAGTTCAGAGTTTCTAAAGGAAGCTGATCACATAGGCACATCTCTGGCACATATGTACTACACAACCACCCATGATGGGAACCTCCAGACAGGTACCAGGTGCATATCATAAGTCTTTATGTTTACTTTAAAGTATGCTGCCAGTGTCTGCTGCAGCCTTCCCAGTACCCCAGGTGCACAAAATAGCATTATTGATCAGTGACTATGCGAGCATTCCTACGTTTAGTTCTCTAATCAAAGCTACAGGACAGTGCCAGCTCCAGGTGTCCCCTAAGATAAGCAAGGATTGAGCAAACCAGAGTTGCTGCATTAACTCTTTCCTCACAAGCTTCAACCTAGGATTGCTACCAGCATTGTGAAAAGAAGCTGGTCAGAGAGAGAATACCTGTCTCCATATCCTGCATCCATTAAGCACAGTAGTCCAAAAAATAGCATTAAACCTGATCCATTTGAGCTGGATTGGGAAAAGGAAGGTCTTGAATCTGCTTCTCCAAAAATTTAAAGAGGGGCCCTCTCTTTTCCTCTTCACTTTTTGTGTTCCAGGTTCACAATCTATTATTAAAAGAACTTCCTACATCTTAAAGGGAAAAGGCATATTCCCTGAAAAAATGAAGTCCTCAAAGTTGTCTGTTGGCATATGTTAAAGTTTTATTTTTCTTTCCTAATTACTGAACTAGAGGGAAGACTAAGTAGCTGGTTCCAAACCATTTGAAGAATTTATGTGGTCAGTTGGGAAATAGTGCCTGGATAAGATTACTAAGTTATATTTATGGCTAGTTAAATTTCTACAGAGCAATAAAATCATACATCCTGAGTGTTAACCCCTACCAGCCTAAAAAAGCATGGCGCTATACCAATTAGAGGTTACCTTCTAATGTTAAAAGACTATAAGATATCATATCTTTATTAGTTGTGGGTTCTCAAGCAAATATTCTGTGACAACAAATTTTCATTCTCAAGAGAAAAAGATGACAGTCAAGCAGGTTTATTAGAAAATGAGAGAGAGAGCGAGAGAGGGAGAATGCACATAGTAATTACTTTTTTAAAGTTCAGAAAAAAGAGAATTTCTTTCATTCTCTCAAATTTCTCATTTCCTGTAATCCACTCTGTAACTTTGTTCTGATGCTTTCCATTGCACCTTCCTACCCACACACACTCTTCCCCCACCTCTCCCACATCCACTAATTGTTCAGAAACAACTTAAAGATACTAAAATGAATTACTTTTTATTGGTAAATGTCCTAAATGTGCATCCTGTGAGGAATCAGCGAGAGAGGGGCATTACAAAGAACAGCTCCCAGCATGAAACATTGGGGGAGGAATATGTGAGTGAAGGCAGTAATCCAAATAAAGCTAACTAGCTTTTCTGATAATCCAAGCAATGGGCTAAGACCACAAGTTCTGAGACCACCTAAAGATAGATTCATTGACCTTTGAGAGGAGGTTCTCAGTAGCAAGTGAAGAGAAGATCAAGTCGATGGAAAGATAGTTCCATTTCTTTAGAAACTATTTCTTGTGAGAAAGCCAACTCTAGAGCTACAGCTCCCAATTAAGTCAAGTCTGGGCACAAGATAGCTCTGGCTCATTTATTGCTTGGGATGTGCCAGGCCTAATATAAGAAATGGCTCTAATCCATGCCATACAGACCCAGTCTTTGATCTTCAACACCATACTCATTCCCCTAGTTCTATTAGAGACTAAGACAATAAGTCATTGTCCCTGGCAGGATGTCAATATGTCTATCCCATTAATACCCATAAACTATATACTTTTATTTCATATATAGACTATGCTTCAACATCTCTCATTTAGAAGGAACTCCAAAGGTACCTGTGATTCTGAGATGCAGTGACAAATGAGCATTTCTGCAATCGTTGGTCATTGGGATAATAGACATTAGAGAATATGCTTTTGTTTTTTATCATGCATGCCCCTCTTTAAATCTTATAAGTGATGGAATAAGTTGTGATGATCATTAATTAATTAATAATCTCTTGGGGCTGTTAGGAAGATTACGAGGATTCAATGAGATAACACACACACATAGCTTAGTATACTGCCAAGCGCCTAGAAAACATGCTATACATGTTAGCTACTATTATTTGTGTTGTTGTTGTTATCTTTGCCCTAAATATAATGGGACACATCAGAGAATAGCCGAAATTGATTGACTTAATCAAAACTAAAGACAAACTGTATATGTGGAACCTAATGTGACTATTTAGGGCTAGAACTAAACCATCTCCTCCAAGTAAAATGATACCTACCCCTTAAATTTCCACATATGTCATATTTTTTATTTATGCTAGAAATATCACCACATATATGACAATCACAACATCTGGTTAACCTGCCATTGCGATTTCAGAATTATAACTAATCCCTTGAGATTATTTCCTAGCCATCAGCGTTAACCTAGTATACACCTGAGGATACTTCTGATTGAAAATATTTACAAAATAAACTATATATACCTAGCTAATGTTACATTAATACTTTACACACATGCAAACACACACAAAATCACTCTAACATGTAGAATCTGGTCAGTCAAATGAACCAACTCTTGAAAAATTATTTTCCAGCCTCGGCTTTTCCTCATGCTGAAGGGTAGGTGGAAGGAAGATGGGAGCTTTCATTTCACTATTAGTTTTTTGGGAAGTAGAATAAATCCAACAGGAACTCTTTGAGAGGCAAAGCCAGGGCCATCTGGAATCTGGGGAAGAGGGTGTGAATTACAACCCAGAATCTTAGTAGCTGTGTGATCTTTGAGTGTCATTCTAACCGATGTTGAGATGGGAATGCACAGTCTCACACTGTTCTCTTGAGAATTGCATGACATAAAGTAAGTGAAAGCATATTTGTAAACCTTAAATTACAGAACTAATATAAATTTTGGTTTCAACCTCAAAGCAGAGCCATGTGCATCTCAACTGCAGACTCACCATGGTTCCCATGTGCAACTGGTTCAGAGAGGAGCCTGGAGCAGGCAACCAGGACAACCAATGAGCTGCAGGGACCCAAGGAGGGCTCTGAGTTCACTTTCACTGGAACTCTTGGGAAAAGACAGTATAGAAAGGGCAGATGATGGTTCTTGTCATTGCAGAGACCTGTGCACACAGAAATGGGTACCCCTGTTTGCTGACTGAAATCCAAAACCAGAGAGAAAATCGCAAACATAAAAATCCACCTAACTATTAATAATAATTTCTAGATTTTCTTATATAGATGGAAACCAGAAATTATTGGTTCTGTCTACCTGGCTAGATTACCCCCAAGGAAATGGACAAACCAAAGACATGCATAGGTTGTCAAACTACATATTCATACATTCAACTAAAAAACTGAGGTGAGAGGTAAAAGAGAAATGATCTCTGTTATGACATGACATTTACTTTGATTGTATTAAACATATATAATAAGCAGTTTCATCTCAGTGAAGTCAGAAACCTATTCTTTTGACTAAGATAAAAAGTATTTCACAAACAAATCCAAAGTATCAGATTATGTTTTATAAGATTGTTTTGTATTCTTGAGTTACCTATTAAAATAACTGACTTTGAACCAAAAAAAAGAAGCAAATCTCCTTGACTCAAAAGTGATACATTAAGAAAATTTTCCAAAAGTGATACAATTTAGAATACCTAATTTAAAAGATAATAAAACCTCTCAGAAGTAGCTGTGAATTATGGGTTCCTCTAACCAGGTAATGTTCTCTAAAGGAAAGAATGTTCCATCCATCATGATTGGTTAGTCAGTAACTAATCAGGAAATAATGAAGCTCATCTCCTTATACATCACCGACATATTTTCTATACAAATATATTTTCCTCTCCTGGCAACATAAGAGAAATTGGAATCTGATCTTCTCTGAAAGGGAAGGTAAAGGGACTAAGGGTATGGTCCTGAAGGGAATTATAGAAAACAGATGTAACACAGTCAATGGCTAGCTAAGAAAGGTAAGCAGAAAGAAATGGTGAGTAGAAGAGTAAAATTTTAATGAGCGAAACAAATCGTCGAGATGCCCTTCAGAGACTAAACATACAGCTTTAAGTGGTGCTTGGACTTGAAGTTAATAGATGTGTGGATAAAGGATAATAAAGAGATGAGAGAAGAGAGATAGGACAAAGGAAGAGACACATGATTGTTCTGCATGTTTGGAGGGGTGCCAGGAATGTCCCCACACCCTGCTTCTCCTCTAGTCAGTTTCTGAGGCCAAAGGTGAGTCTTGCAGATGTCTGTGTCTTTGACTCCTTGACTCCTGGCTTTCTTTCCCAAGGAGTTTAGTGCCTCCTCATAAAGGACAGCCTGTTGAGTCACAGGACATCCATTTAACAGATCTTTCTCTGAAAGGGGTTGAATCAGGGAAAAGATGTCAGAGCAAGAAGGCACCAGGCCCTCCCAGGATGAAAAGAAAGTAATTCACCAACAAGGCCATGGTGGAAATGGGACGGATCTCAGGATGAACGTCCCCTGCCACATCATCATCCAAAGAATTCACTGGCATGTGAACTTGCCAGAAGATGCTGAGAGTGAGCACACAGGCACTCTAAGTAATGAACCTGTACACTACTTCGTTCAGAGCTATGAGCCCTGAATTTACACATCTGAAGACACAAAGGTTCAGACCCAGAAAAAGAAAATTGCAGAGCAGGTGGAGACCTAGGCCAGTAGGCCTAATAACTCTGGTTTAAATCAAGGAACAAAATCTACCATAAAATGCCACTGCCATGACTGAGTCTTCTAAGCTGGCTCTGCTAGTCACACCACCTTGTAGACCAACTGAAAATGCTCATTTGCCTGACAATTATAGACAGGATGGATATCAAAACACCTGATCTGCCAAGACATCGTCATACCTCAAGATATATCAATAACGTGTATATTCATAGATTTTCATTCAAGGTTTATGGGCTAAATGTATCTTTAAATAAGTAGACTTTTGTAAGGTTTATGCATAAATTAAATTTATAAATATACAAAATTGAAATATGTTAATATTTGGTGTATGTTCTAGATGATTAAAACCCACATATAAACTATAACAAAAATTTAAAATTAGTTATATTCATGGCTTAACATCTCCCCACAGTCCTTATCCATTAAATACTTTTACACTAATTTGGAGCATCTTTATTTGTTCCCTAAGTGATCTAGTAGTAAGAGAACACGAAAAGTTAAAAATAACTCAAGAAATAATTTAAAGTAAAGCCCTGCAAGTAGTTAAGAAAGTTGAGGTTATAGTAGAGCTAGATATAGTTCCTTCATTGTTAACTAGCTGGGTGATCTGGGACTAATCATTGAAATTTTCTGAACTTTAATTTCTTCATCACCAAAATAACAGAAAGATAAAAATGACTGGGGATAAGAGTGAACTAGATTTTTCTAAGACACCTGCTAAGTCTAAATTTCAAGGGTACTACAAAATTACAATAAACTTGGAGAATCTTTGTGATAGGCAGTCTCAAGGATACCCCCAATGATCCTTGCATGCTGACATTTATGCCCTTGTGTAATCCTCTCCCTTGAACAAAGGCTAGACATTATCATTTGTCCCTTCTGATATTAGGTTACAAAAATACTGTGACTTCCATCTTGCTCTTTCTCTCCCTCCCCTTGGTACATTATCTCTCTCTCTTTCTTGAAGAAAGCCAGCTTTCATGTTGTAAGTTGCCCCATGGAAAAGCAAGGAACTGAAGGAGAACTCCAGTCAACATCCAGTGAGAAACTGAGGCTGTCATCCCAACAGATCATAAAGGCCGAACGGAACTGCCAAAAACAACAGAGTGAGCTTAGAAGCAGATCTTCCCCCAGCTGAGCACTCAGATGAAACTGTAGCACCAACCAGCAATTTGATTACAGCCTTGTCAGAGATGTTTAGACAGAGAAACCCAGCTAAGCTGCACTCAGACTCATGATGGAAAGAAATTGTGAGGTACCAAGTGTGTGTTGTTTTAAGCTAGTATGTCTTGGGATAATTATAATGAATCAATAGAAAACACTATTTCTCTGAAGCAAGATCAATTCTATTTTGAAAGGGCCAAGAATCAGGTCCACAGAAGGAGAGCAAGGAACTGTTCTCCTGAGTGGCTAGAAATGTAATTTTCAATCCAATTCAGTAAGTACTGATAGCACCATCATTATGGTCAAAACATTATCGTCACGTAAAGGAATGCAAAACAGTGTCTTTACCATGAACCAGCTTATAGGCCTTATGCACACTAATTAATTTTGTAGATGGGACAGGAACAGACAGCTATTCACCAAACCCATTTCCTCTTCTTCCTGTTCCCTGCAGAGTTCCCTGCAGAAAGGTATGGTCAAATGACTATGTGCAGCACTTTCAGACTTGGCCCATTAACATTCCCACATCTCGCCCACTGCCCGCTTGATGCAGATGAATCAGTGTTGAACATGATGAGCAAAAACATGGCAGGAGCCTGGACCCCTGCGATGTCACTCAGAGGAGAGCCACATGCCTGTCAACAATGGCTATTTTGGACTTCATCTCATGAGAAATACACTTCTATTATCTTAAACCACTGAGGTTTTGGAGATTATCTATTACAGGAGCTAGCATTTCCCTAATACATAAAGCAAAGGACAATACAGGCAAGTTTAATAAAAATGCTACTGGAAATATATTTAACGAGGACCTGAAAGTAGGCTGTAATTGAAAAAATTGCTGGAACATGAGTTTTAGTCATTTGTCTTCAACATCAAATAGTGATATGACCTTAGACAAAGTACTTAACTTTTCTGGATGAGATAATCTCTTAGTCACCCTTCCTCTCTAAAACCCTATAATTCCATGATGTTAAGTCTCAGACTTGATGGTTCAGCTAGAAAAAAAAAAAGCTGTGTGAGGTTAGACTTTTATTATTATCATGCAATTCTTCTAGCGATTAAAAATGAAAACTACTTTGCATGTCCAGTGTACAATATATCATATATATTCTTCCTTTATAACATGTTTTACCCTTTTTAATATTACCTTTCATTGGTCACCTTCTTCAATGAGGTTAAAAGTCTTTGGCATCAGAGGCCACCATTTATTTATCTTTGTCTTCCAAAGGCCTAGCACAGTGCCTGGTACCTACTAGGATGGAAAAATATGTGATTGAGTGAGGATGGAGCAAATGTCATAAACTTTCCAAAGGTTCAAGCAGGAGAGTGAGTCAGCATAAAGGGAAGGGGGCTCTCTGATAAATGAGGTGGACAGAAGGGAAGGTGGTGGTATTGACTCTGGGCTACTGCTGTTAGATGTGGGCTGGACATTAACTGTGCTGACTGGCAGCAATTTGTTCTAGGAGTGAAGAAGATGAGTGACAACATGAGATGACTTCCTTAGCCATGAAATTAACTAAAGTGCTGTCATTTGCAGAAAGTTTAAAGCCTGCTGATGCTGATCAAGGGCAAGAAAGCAAAAAGTTTAGGGAACAGAATCCAATAAATCTTCATGATTTGTCCAACTCTCACTTTATTCCAGGGTTGAGTACTTCCAACCTCTAAGGCAAAGACATGGATAAAAGGAATGAGTCTTTGAATATGGATTTTATCCTCTTGGGCCTCTTCCCCAGTATGAGACATATCAACTTCCTTGTCTCTACCATCTTCCTGGTCTACACTGTGGCTCTCACTGCAAACTCTATTCTTATTCTTCTGATCTGAGTGGATTCTCATCTCCACCTGCCCATGTACTTCCTGCTCAGCCAGCTGGCTCTCATGGACCTGACATTAATCTCTAGCACTGTACCCAAGATGGCAACTGACTTCTTCTCAGGGAGAAGAAACATCTTACGGGTGGCCTGTGGGACTCAAATCTTCTTCTTTCTGACTCTAGGAATTACCGAGTGTATCCTCATCATTCTCATGTCCTATGACAAGTATGTAGCCATATGCAACCCTCTGAGATATGCCCTCATCATAAGCCAGAGGGTCTATCTGAAGATGGCTGCCATCTCCTGCGCTGGGGGTACCCTTACATCACTTGCACACACAGCCTATGCCATGCATTTCTACATTTGTGGTTCCAGAAAGATATCCCATCCTCTCTGTGAGGTCATGGCCATCCTAAAATTGGCCCGTGAGGACATCACTGCCCATGAAAAGGTGATGGTGATGACAAGCATTGTGGTGCTCTTCATTCCCTTGTCCTTCATCCTGAGCCCTTATGCCCTCATCTTCCTTACTGTCCTCCACATAAACTCCCCCAAGGACAGGAACAAAGCCCTGGCTACCTGTTCCTCCCACCTGATTGTGCTGAGCCTCTCCTTTGGTCCAGCCATGCTAGTCTATATGAGGCCTAGTTCTTACCAGATTCTCTTTATGCCTGGTGCCACTCTCACCCCCATGAGGAACCCCCTCTTCCACAGTCTAAGGAGCAAGGAGGTGGTGGTTGCTCTCAAAAAGGTGTTGGGATGCTGCCTATCCTCAAATTAGACCACAGATATATGATAGATGATAATCGCTAGTTTAATCAGCCAATGCTTAAAGGTCAAGTTCTCAGTTGCGATCCTTCCACACTTAAAACTTCAATGGAACCAGTGGCAACATGGATTCAGGTCATATATACATAAAACTGGTGAAACATGCTTATCTTCTTTCATGATTCCTTAAAGATGTTAGACCCACACACTTAGACTATGAACCTTCAGGATTTAGGCAGTCCAAGGCTGATGATAATGATGGTGATGGTGGTGGTGGTTGAAGTAATGAAAGTAATGATGGTGATGGTGATGATGAAGAAGTTTCACCAAGAAAAGTAACTGAATCAATGATGTTTTATTCCACCACAAAGAAGACGTGTATCAAGTTCTTTTCTTGAAAGAGGCCAAACACTGCTGAAAATCCAGAAGTGCTCCAGAAGTAAAGATAAAAACTGAAGATTTCTTGGTTTTCAATATGTAAAATAAAAGGGATAGCTTAGGTTATCTCTGAGGTCTTTAACATACCTGAACAAAAAACCAATCCAATTAGTTTTAAACACTATTCTGACCCTTAAAATTTAATTATTTTATGAAATTGTCCCCATTACCAAAAAGGACACATATTACGATTTTAGTTCCAGCTTTTTATTGTCGAGGACACACAATTATATTGGACTTGATGAAAATGGACAGTTATCTGTAGATTTATACTACTAGAATGAATTTTAATATTTTTTACATTTCTATTGCCTTTCTGCCATTTAGTGTTGTAGGAAAAACACATTTCACATTTCAACAGAGAGTAAAATAGACTCAATGTGGCTTAGTCTACTATATAAATGTGGATATATTATTGTCCTAATGTCTGAAAGTATGAGCATAAATGTACTGCAATTGGACCTAAGGGACTTAACAATTCACTAGTATATCCATTACATTTTAAGTAACTTGGTTTGGTGACTGAATTAGCAGATGTAAACTTATTTGGACAGTCATTTAAAAGCCAATAGAGAAAGTGAGGAGTAATAAATGTACGTTGGCTAACAATAAAACAGAAGGCTGGGAATTAGAAGGTATAGCCACAAATCATCTTTAATCCCTGGGGGAAAAAAGATGATTTATTTTTAAATTCAAAATATGTTGAAGATTATACGGAAGAAATATTTTGATCTACAAAATGGATAGACAAAGTTTTAAGATAGTCTTCATATAAGTGATTAATGTAAATTATCCGTGCTAGGAAGAAATGTATGTGCCAAACGAGGTGTATGGCAGGGAGTACTGGGGAAGGAGTATAAACCAGGAGTCTTTTTGACAGTCATTAAGTAGATAAATGCAAGGACATTTGTTTTGCCCCATAATCATTTACTTGGGTATCAACTGTCAGGTTTAAGCATTTCTATTTCTGACAATAAAGCTGAATTCCTTGTATTTCAGTTGTTTTTCCAATATGACCATTATATTGCACCAAATAAAACAAGAGAGTGGGTAGTGTATAAATGCCCCATTCAGGAGCTCTAAAATATATTTTAATAGCCAGGCTGTCATTCTGCTTCAATTTGTTTCAGTGCAGTGGTACCACCGTTTAAGGAAGGCCTTATATAATAATAATGCCTCTTGTATCTCATTAGCTACTTAAAGTACTTTGTCCCACCCCAATAACCAATATGGCAGAGCTATCTTTCACAACTGGGATAAAACAGGAGGAATCCACTGAAATGGGATTTGAACTGAAAAGGGAAGTGAGACCCATAGGCTTTACTTGCTTCCAGAGTCTGGTGGCTTCACACACAAACACACACACACACACACATACACAAATTTATAAGTATCCTGAAAGGACAAAAGGAAGCTTTAGTGTATTGACTTGTTTTTAAGATAATAAAAGAGGAAAACTGCTAAAAGAAAATCACCAGGTAAAGCTCTCATCCATCCACTCACTGCTGCCAATGTTCACATCTCTCCTCAACAGAATTCAGGTGAATGGGAAGCATCACCAACTCAACTCAGCAGCTAGGGAAAAGGGAAGGCAATCCCAGTGTCCATGAAAAGTCCATTGACCTGTCAAAATCTCTCTTCATGGAGACCAAAGTCATGTGGCAGAAATCACTTGATTCTAATCTAATTGGAAAGCGTTCTCTAGAAACGTCTCAGAGAAAATAAAAGTTATCTAGTGCAACCTTATGTCCTAACATTCTGAAAATAAATGAGGTGCTCCAAAAGAGAAAATGTAATACACAAATAAAGGTAAAATGTAAAATTTACTCTTATCTTTTGCTAGCTTGGAATTTCTTTGGAGGGGAAACTATTGACAGTCTCTAATGCAAACTTAAAGCCTCACTGACACAGAAATCACTCTTTGCAGATTACTGAAATTGCCACTGGTCCCTATTGCCCTTTTCCTCCCACATGAACAGCCAGAAAACCAGAATTCTCACCATCAAACTACATCTCATCGCTAAATATAGTAATCAAGTCACTCCTAAATGTCTATTCTAACCGAACAATTTCAGTTCCTTATTTCATTTTCTTTTATGTATGATTTAGATTACACCTCTTTAGCCATTTCTGTTTTGATTCAACTCTCCTCCCTTCCTCATGCCACACACACAGACAGTTTTGACATATATTTTTAAGGTGTAATTACAACACCCCCATTTGATTGCCTTGGCTTAGATTCCCATTATAATTCCTATAGGATGCGAAGATTCTAGAAATATTTTCAGCCTGATTATTTCCCCTTTGCCCGAACTCTCAGGAAAATATGTTCCACCTTACCTACATGGGATCAGCCAGACCAAACACAATCTAAGGTCAGATTGGAATAAGCCCACTGCACTCTTTAAAAAAAAAATACCATGCAGCCACCTAGCCTAGAGACAAGAAAATCCTGGTCTCTCTATAATTTTAACATTTCACTGAAATTTATTGAGTATTAATGGCTATGGAATTTGATGAGCTGGAAACCATGGCTGTATAGCTTTCTCAATTTCAAATAAAGAAAACCTATGAGAAATCCAAAGTCAAACAAAGCAGGAGTATCCTTGAACACCCACTTCATCTTCACCTTTCCTTTCTGTCCATCCTGATTCTCTTTCTTCCTCTCTCTTTTTAGCCTCTGTCAATATCTATTTCTCTCTGTGTGATCACTCCTGCATCTCAGGCCTCCATGTCTCTCAGTCTCCCTGAACTCTTTCCCTCTCTGCCTACTCTCCCCGCCTCTCTCTCTCTCTCTCTCTCTCTTCCCCCCAACTTCTCTCCCTCCTTATATTTCCCTTTTCAACCCTTCTCAATTCTTTGTCCATGTTCCTCTCTTTCATTACCCTTTCCATTCCTTTTTCTAAATCTTTCTGACATTTTCCCTTTGTTTTTTTATTATTATTATTCCAGGGTTTTGTGAGGGTACAAACATTATAGTTACACTTTATATCTTTGCCTCACCCAAATGCGGGTTAAAGGCATGCCCTTCCCTCCCTTTAGTGTGCCCCGTGTCCTTTAGTTGTAGATTTGCCCCCCCATCCCCCTAATCCCTAGAGAGTATTTCTGCCATGTGATCAACCT